ATTATTATTATTATTATTATTATTATTATTATTATTGAAACTGCTCCTCACGGCCGTCCAGACAGCACTGGAGCACGGCGGGGACGCGCGCTCGTGTGTCAGGATGGATCTCCCGGCTCACGCCGCCCGAGGTCCGTCTCTACGAGCGGTCCCGCAGCGCCGCTCTGAGGCTGATGCAGGGCGCAGGTGCCCCAGCCCCGCGGCGCCCGTTTTCGGCGGGGCCACACCTGGGATGCTCGCTACCGGGCTGGGCTAACCGCTTCCATGTAGCCCTCCGGGACACGGGAGCGACACGGTACATTCACTCCGCGAACACAGCCCGCTGCTCCCGTCCCGCGGCCGGCGAGGTGTCGCCGTGGATGTTTTCGTCGTTTATTTGCGCGGCGAGCCCACGGAATCGTCCCCGAACCGAGCCCCAGTCAGTCCTGCTGGCTCCCGGCCGGGTCACGGAGTCCAGGCGTCTCCCCCCGGCTGAGGACCCCAGCAGCGCTGGTGCACAAGCGCCTTGTTGGGTTTTTCTTTTTAAAAAAAAAACGTCGTGACGCAGGGATTGGGGTGCCGAACTTCGCTCACGCCAAACCCCGCGTTTAGTACAGGGGCGAGCCGCCTGATGGCGTGTTCTCAAGCCGGGGCCCGAGTGATTTGTCAGCAAGTATCCGCCGTCGAGCTATAGTGCAACAGGCTGACAATTTAAGAGACAACTGCTGGGTCACTTTTCCCTCGTCGGTTCTGCTGAGCTCGCTGTGTCTGCGCCCGCGCCTTTGAGGACGGTGCAGGCTGTGTCCGGCCGGGCTGGCCTACGTGTGACGTCAAGGATGTTGAAATCAGACGATCGCGCTCGTGTGTGTGTGTGTGCTGAAGCACCAGGCCGGTGGACTTTGTTATATTAAGGAAAGAAGGTGAAGGCGTTTTTCGTGCAGCAGAACGCAGGAGCCATGCCGGAGCAGTCTGGTTTTCCCCACGGCACCTCTGCACCCGGCGGGGAACAGATGGGACTCCCGCCGCAGAGCCGTGTGATCCGTTCCGGGTTTTACACCTCACGGCAATGAAGCCGAAAAGCCAGGCAGTATTATTATAACGGGGCCCCCCAGTGCTGGTCAGGGGACACCGCCACATGCAAACCCTGACACGGATCGGACTGCTGTCTTGCTCGAGGCCCAGTTAAGGGTGTGTCTGTGTCGGCTCCGTTGGGTGCTCCGTGCTGAAACCCAGGCCCCCTGGCACCTTGCCTGTCGCAGGAGGGTGGGGGTGGGGGGCGCGGGGACACAACAGAGGTCTGTCCCCTGTGCCGCGTCTGGAGCAGCGAGACAGGAGAAGGGAGGGCGGTTTTGCTGCGATCAGCTAAAAATCCACGAAAATGAAAGTGCCAGCAGAACACACTTCTCCTATTTTCCACGTGCTGATAAGACAGTTACAGGCACATCTGCCTCCGGGGCTTCAGGCAAAGAGTTTCCCACAGCTCTCTGGCCCTTCTGCAGACAGGGTTTCCCAGAGCGAAGGTGGGGGAGGCAGAGAGAAGGGGGAAGGCAGGAAAAGGGAAGGAGAGAGACCGAAAAGGGGAAGAGCACAAGGGAGGAGGAGAGAGGCGACAGGACAGGGATACGGGCAAAGAAAGATGAAGGGACTGGGGGAGAAACCAGGGTCTCTGCTTTGACAACACGGCTGGGCAGCCTGTTCCACGCCCCCACCACCCTTTGGGTAAGGGCGTGTCTCCTGTCCCGAGTGGGGTGTCTTCGGCAGCCCCCTCCAGAGGAGTGGAACTGTAGGAGTGGAACAAGGCGGCGACGAGGCGTTGCTAGGGTGACAGAGGGATGATAGAAAGGATAGATAAGAGATCATGGGAATTTGATCTGTCTGATCAGGAGGCCCTTCTTTACTCAAAGAGTTGTGGGAGTGTGGAACCAGCCACCCAGCCGTGCTGTTGAAGCCGATACCCCGCCTTAGCTCAAGAAACAGCTGGGTGAGATCCGGGGGATTAATTAGCTATTAACCACCAAACATGGCAGGTAGGCTGATTGGGCTCCTCTCGTTCGGAAGCGTTCATAAGAGACAGAGAGGGTGTTGGAGAGATGGAGCGAGATCTCTCGGCTTTGCAGATGAGCGACACCAGATGAGAATGAAAGTTACAGTTACAGTTACTCATCTTCTCATGACCCTGCATCATTTACGGAATGAGCAGCCGGTGACGTCGCAGCAAACGCAAAGCAGGATGGGTCCTAACAGAGCGTGCGACACGACACGGCCTAAAGCAGGGCCTGATGCAGATGCTCGTCCCCCATTCCGGGTTTTGGTGGTGCAGATAGATGGGTCTCTACACACGCTTACAGATAAAAGACATGAGACGCTTACTTGTACCTTTCTTTTTCTGTAAGTACTGTGAGAGGCAGAAATGACGCCATCGGCCTGGTTTAAATTAGTAACCCTCAGAATAAACTGTTTAAGACTTCTGCAAACGCAGAGAATGAAGATCCTGCCTAGGGCTGATATGCACATGGACAGGATGTTTGTATACTCTATATATATAGCAGCCCCCAGCCTGAGAGTACACATGAGAACAATGTGATACAATGAAAGGCTCTTTAAAACCACCGAAACCACAGAGCTCACAGGCTCTCCGTGTGGGGTGGTTATTTGTATATTGCAAGTCAGCGTAACCAGGCAATCGTCTTCTGTCCCTGGCTTTTACAGCAACAGCCACTGCACCCCACACTGACAACTGCTTACTGCCAGCTGTACTGGAGTTCAGCTCCAGCCCTGAACACCAGCACAGAGTGGTTTTAACCTGGCCATCATGGGGCACAATGCACTGTACTGGAGTACAGCCCTGATCACTGCTTTAAACCAGACTACCGTGACACTGTGTGTGTACTTACTTTCAGTCAAAGACCACAGTTGGACACTAGAGGGGGGATGCTTTCTTTACACAAAGGGCTGTAGGAGTATGGAACAAGCCACGCTGGGAGTCTGCCTACATCTCCTCACTCTCTCTTGCATGCAGTCGCTGGGGTTTGGAACTGAGAGCCGAAATACAGATTTTAAATTCATTAAAAACACACAGACACACTCCTGCTGGCTAATATTCAAGAGGCTTGACTTGGCAAAACCTGGACTGGAGCAAATTGCCATGCAACAGGAGCGTGGCTGCTCTAAAGCGGATTGTATTTACTCAGTGCTTTGAGTGCTGGACAGATGCCAGTTCAAAACCACCGATGCGGTTCGCGGGTTCGAGAATTGCTTTCCCACCAGACCTCCTCCCCCTCTTCACTACTGCTCCGCCCACAGACCCGTCATGGGGCTCCTGTTCCCTGGGCACCTTCATCTGCCTGGAGTGCTCCGGGATCCACAGGAACATTCCCAGCATCAGCAAGGTGAAGTCCCTCAGGCTGTCATCCTGGGAGGATCTGGAGGTCCAGGTGAGTCAGAGTCTCTGTTCCCGGTGGTCCTCAGGAATCAGATCCAGTCTGTTGACCTTCATGGACAAAGGAGCTATATTGTTCGAGCTATATAGACGTTGAGCAGCATGGTGGAACAGTGGTCAGCGTTGCTGATTTACAGCTCTGTGGCCCTGGGTTTGGTTCCTGGGGTGCTACTGTCTGTGTGGAGTTTGCATGTTCTCCCCCTGTGTTCATGTACGTTTCCTCCAGACGGTCTGGTTTCCTCGCACAGTCCCAAGGCATGCTGGGTAGGTTAATTGGCCTCTGGGAAATGCCTGCCCTGATGTGGGTGTGTGTCTGTGCCTAATTACAACCTCTTCTGAAGCAGTCTTGTCTAAAAAGAACGACTGTTGAGGTAGTGTTGCTGCATCACAGCCCGTGGGACCCGGGTTTGAGTCTGTCACGTCCTTTTTGCGGAATTTGCATGACCTGCCTTTGTTTGCACGGGACAATAAATACCTTTTTGGATCGGTCTAACAAAGGCTGTGCCTGGCAGTATGAGGAACTTACACCCTCTGTGCACACTGATAACAAATTGATAATAACCAGGCTTGTGCAGGGCGTGTTTCACAGTCACCAACACCACAAAGCAATTTCTACTTAGAAACTAGCCTGACGTTGTTTTGTTTTATGGTGCCTACTAAAGGAAAAGTTGTCTCTTTCTTTGTCCACCTCCTGCGAGTGCTAGTCTCTTTGCCCTCTTATTGCAGTCTGATATATATAAATTGAAAGGCTTTCTGGTGGAAACCAAAATCTGGGACAGAGTTTTGGGATTGGAAGGGGAAGTCACCCTCAAAACAGGGTTTCTATTCCTGGTCCTGGTCTAGGTGCTTCTCCGGGTTTTCACTTCACCTCGACAAATGATCTAGACCAGTTTGTTAATGTTTTTAAACAATTTAAGATTTTGAAAGACTTAAAGAGTTTAGGAGCTGAAAAACCTGCAGACACATCAACCATGCAATGTCAGGACTGGGGTACAGTCACAAATCTTCACCAGCTCCACACCACACCAGACCCAAACAGCATATTTATATATCAGGCTTGGTTGATCTCCTGAAAAGCCCAGACACAGCTAATCCACTGGATCGCTTAACGATCAGCAAGGATCAGGCGACCAAAATGGAAGTCAAGGCGTTGCACATTTAGGAATAGGAAGTACACATCGCACAAAGAGTGGTGGGTGTCTGGAACAAGCCACCCCCCCCATGTAGGTGACCTACAATTTTTTTTACAGAGCAGCTCGTTAAGACTGTCGGTTCAATTAGGGAGAAAGATGGGACGAAACGTCAGCGGTCTCCCCGGGGCTGCAGTCTTTTGTTCTGAGGTCCTGAGCTCCCTCTCACTGTCCCGCCCGGCTTCTCTCTTTCCAGTTCCTGGCAGAGCACGGCAACACTGCGGCGAAGACCAAGTACGAGGCCGCGGTCCCTGTCTATTATTACAAGCCTACGCACCGGGACTGCCAGTGAGTGATGTGGGGTTTGTGTGGGGGGTGGGGAGGCATGCCTGTGGTGCACCAGAGAGAACCACACCACAGCCATGTGACTCATCGGGCACAGACCACGTGCCCGCAGGCACATCCGACACCAGGGCCTTCCCAGAGCCGGTCCTGCAGGCCCGCACGCCTGCTGGGTTTCCCTGCAGCTGGGAGTCGTGGCTTCGTTGGAAGCCGAACTGGGAGGCGGGCTGGATGGGATCTTTCGCAAGTACGCTCTCCGGCTCAAGAGCTCGGGATTTGATTGGAATTCGGGAATGCGACAGGGAAATGAAAGGCTGCCACCTCCCAACAGGTTTCAAACGTGAAAACAGTCAAATTAATCCTGTTATTTAGTTGGTTACAAATTCAATGGAACAAACCCCGCCAGGCGACAGTCACACACGCCTGTTCTGAAACTCAGCGCTATACTCAGTGTCCAACATACCTTCCTGGGAGGGAGATCCTATGGGACAGAGGTCAGGGAAGGGGGAGATCTTTTCCCTAGATCTTCTTGACAGATGTTCACAGTCAGTAGCGCGAGACCTGGGTGCTTCCCCGCTCATTGAGGTCTTCAGAGATCTGGTGACCTTCAGAGAGCTGTGCGACGTTCATTTCCTTCCCCCCCCCAGCCTTCAATATTCATGGCATCCTGCACTCACGAGGTTTTCCAGGAACTGGAGCCATTATTTATCCTGGAATGCCTCGGGGAAGTTCCCAGAGCCCCGGGACACTCCTGAGGTGGGATAGGACCTAGGTACTCTACCGCATACCTGTCATCACATACCCAGCGTGGCTGAGATCACTGCGAGCGTTCGGGCTAGCAGGACAAGCAGCTAGGAAGAAAGATGACACTCTGAACAGATACTGAGCGTTCCCCCCTCCCCACACGCACACCATTCCTCCTACATAACTGGAAACTGCAGAGGAGGAAGCAAAAGGCTGACGGGACAATAAATTGTTCTGCATTCCTCCCACAGCCGACGTGCAGATCAGACTGAGCCAAGAAAGGCCCTCCTCACCAGGACGGTTCAAAAGAACAGGGGTGCAAACTCACCCCCCGGCCTTGGTAAAACTCCGGTTCAGGTTTTTGAACACCTCCTGGCGGTTCATCACTTCTGTCCCTTGGAGGCTGTAATGTAGTAAACCACCAGAGGGCGCACCCCTTGACGGGGAATGAGGTGTGCCTCCCCTCACCTGGCATGTGTAGTATTATGGGGGAGGGAGCCATAGAGCCCCCTTACTGTTGGATCAGCGGCCTGCAAGTGCTTGTCTCTCCCCTGAGGTCCAGAACTTGACCGTACGCTACCTAGCCAAGCCCTGACTGTGCAGGGTCATATCTTAACACACGTCTCTGCACAGGGTTCTCCGAGAGCAGTGGATCCGAGCCAAATACGAGAGGAAGGAGTTCACCGAACCCGGGAAGCCGCTGCCTTATGAGGAAGGTAGGGTCTGCTGTCCCCGCCGGTCAGTGCACCCGGTCCTCATCCGTCCTGTTCAGCCCTGGACCTGATTGTCTTCCACTTTACTGCATGGAACAAAATTACAGGATAGTGTCCCCATTGCTATACTGGGGCATTAGGACCCACACAGACCGTAGGGTGAGCGCCCCCTACTGGCCCCACTGACATCTCAGCTTTCCCAGGAGTCTCCCCTCCAGGTACTGGCCAGGCTCACACCTGCTGAGCTCCAGTGGGGTGCCAGCTGGGAGCTGCAGACTGGGCAGCAGTGGAATGTGGTCTCTTTAGCAAAGGGGGGTGTGTATCCAGGGACGATGACAGGGGTTAGCAGGGTTCCTGGTGAAAGCCGAGATTGAGACAAATCTGGGATGTCCTTGAGCGCTCTGGCTGTGAGCTCTCACTGGCCACCGGGGTACGATTCGCCCACGATCCCGTTCTCTCCTGCTGTATTTTCCTGTGCCTGGAGGTTGAGTTGTAACCTGACGCTCAGCGCCGTGTGGAATTATGTCTGGTTGCCCGCCAGAGGTCAAGGAGGAGATGCTGATGAAGCGCGGCAGAGACAACGGCCAGTTCCTCAGCCGGAAGTTCGTCCTGATCGAGAGGGAGGGCGTCCTGAAGTACTACACCAAGTATGATGTGAGTCGGGTCGGGACCGGAGTGGACAGGGAGGGGTTTGCTGGACCGGGCCCAGTGGACGAGGCAGGATGGGGCAGAAGTAGGCTACAAGGTTAGGCAAGGCTGAATGTGAAATTCGTAGACTAACCTGGGCCATAAGCCCACAGGGGCTGCAGTAGGAGTCTGTACACCAGATGCAAACCATACACAGGGGCTGTGCTTTGTAGAGTGTATTGTATTGTGTATTCTTAGCCAGAAGCCATCAGTTCCTGTAGCCCAAACAATGATTAGCTGATGTTGATGTCATCCCAGTGACAAATAGCTATTTGGAGCCAATCCCAGATCAGGAGAACCAATAAGAACCAATCCCAGATCAGCATAGCCAATCGGAGCCAATCCCAGAACAGGACAACCAATCAGAGCCAATCACAGATCATAATACCCAATTAGAACCAATCCCAGATAAGGATAGCCAATCGGAGCCAGTCCCAGAACAGGATAACGAATCAGAGCCAGTCCCAGATCAGGATAGCCAATCGGAGCCAGTCCCAGATCAGCATAGCCAATCGGAGCCAGTTGCAGAACAGGATGGGGTGGCAACCAGGGACTAACATCTTGCACGTCTTCCCCCCTTCCCATAGGCAAAAGAGCCCAAAGCCATAATCAGAGTGGACACCATCAACGCCACCTTCCAGCCCATCAAGATCGGGAACCCCAACGGGCTGCAGATCACCTTCCTGAAGGACTACAGCACCCGCAACATCTTCGTCTACCACGAGAACGGCAAGGTACCGTCTGCACAAAGCTCATACTGAGACACAGGAGGGCCAGTTCCAGGCAGCTCAGGCTGCGGAGTTGAAGAGGACAGCCCAACGCAGCACAGTAGTTTCACATAGACAGATATATCTCCTGCTGAGATGGGGATCTCCTGCATCTGGGCAAAAGCATCAGAAACACATGAGAACAGCTACATGTTTTAAACCTGTATTTACTGGGCAGATGCTTTTATCCAAAGCAGCTCACACATGACAGGAGGCCATTTGACATTACCTAGCGTCATATCTTCCTGGAAGGAAGCAAGGGTACTGGCTTCAACAGCGTGTAGGTAGCTTGCTCCACGCCCCCACCACCCTTTGTATAAAGAAGAACCTCCTGTTCTCAGTTTTAAATGCACTTCAGCCGGATCTCCTCCCACTGTGTCTCAAAAAAAAAACATCCAGGGAATTAGCTTGGTTGGGGTTGATTGTGCGATGACACACCTGTGACCTGATAAACAGGGGTCACAGGGAGGCCCAGAGCAGGGCTGTTAATCAGTGACTGGGACCTTGTCTTCCTGTCTCCTCCAGACAATAGTGGACTGGCTCAACGCTATTCGGGCCACGCAGTTCCATAACCTGCAAGTCGCCTTCCCAGGAGCCACCGACACTGAAGTAAGTTCGGTTTCGCGGCTCTTAGTCTCCTGGTCCATCTTCAAACCCCTCGGGATCCGTGACTTCCAGTGGTATCCCATCTTTTCCTTTCCCTCGCGGGCTGGCTCCTTGGACTCTTACAAGCCCGTCCCTCTCCCTCTCCGTCTCTCCACCTCGGGGCTTTTGTCCAGCACCGATCAAACCCTTCAGTTAACTGCAGCTCCGTTAGAAAGCCCAGAGAAACTCCAGCTGTTCGCTCTCTCTCTCCCTCCTGCTCCCTCTCAGTCAGTGTCTCGGTGCCCCAGTGCACGCTGGGCTCACAGCTCTGAATGCATGAATTCCTCTGACTCAGCCACACAGGGTCAGGACCCACCTCTCGCGTGAACTTTACCCCCCCAGTGCCGATTCTCTCTTCCTCTCTCTTCCTCTCTCAGTTCCCCTCCGGTTCCCTCTCTCCCAGTGACCACGTGCCTCTTGTGTCTCTCAGCTCATACCCAAGTTGACGAGAAACTTCCTGAAGGAGGGCTACATGGAGAAGACCGGGCCGCGGGTGGGTTCAGCGATTGCTTCTGATCATGTCAAGCCCTTTAAAACCACTTTAAGCAAAGTGCTGTGTTAATTAACATTTATTTAATCCACCTATTTAATCCAGACCTCAGTGTATTTATGCTTTCATCATTGTGCTATTTCTGTGCTGGGGGGGCTGAATACCCTTCTCTTAGAAAGCCTACAGGAACAGCACACATCACTTAAATGTGACGCAAGATGTGCAGCTAAATACATGCTGAACTCGGAAATCCTTCAAAACCCTACCAGCTACAGCAATGCTGTACGGACACATAGCGCCCTCTGGTGGGTAATGAAGAAATACATTGTGTGTGGAGTCATTTGTATTTGTTTAAAATCTTTCCTCCACCTGAGCAGACTTTTCCGCAGCAGTACAGGAAGCAGCTTGTGACAGTGCCTGCACACTTGCTGCCATAATCATAGCACGGCCAGCAGTTCTAAGTGGTCTGTCTTTCATCAGACAGACCACGCATGCATGGTGGTGCAGCATTTAGCATTGCACCCTTACAGCACTGTTGCACTGGGTTCAGTTCTGGACTTTGGGTGCTGTCTGTGTGGAGTTTGCATGTTCCCCCTGTGTTGGTGTGGGTTTCCTCCAGGTGCTCCGGTTTCCTCCCACAGTCCGGAGACATGCTTGTGGGTTAACTGGCTCCTGGGAAAACTGGCCCTGTTGAGAGTGTGCGTCTGGGTGTGTGTGCCCTGTGATGGGCTGACGTCCTGCCCAGGGTGTGTCCTACCTTGCGGTTGTTGCTTGCTTCCGTCTCCCCTGTGACCCCTCCATCTTTCAGATCCCCTTGGGGATCCCAGCTCTGTGTTGCCCCCGTCTTAAGAGACGTCTGCACCGCCTTCTTCCTTCACCTGCCTTTGCTGACATCCCTGTCCTCTTCCCCGCACAGCAAACCGAAGGCTTCAAGAAGCGCTGGTTCACCCTGGACCAAAGACGCCTGATGTACTTTAAAGACCCCCTGGTAGGAGCTCTCATTTCTCAAAGTCAAGCAGTTGCTCAGTGGGCACCTCAGGAGAGGCCTAACGCAGCCTGAACGCCACACGCAAGAGCAGAGCTCCCCCTCCAAAACTGCCTCTTCAAGGGAGCCCCAGCAGTGCAAGTCGCCAGGAAGAGGGCTCAGTTAACTCAATCAACTCTTAATCGGGTCGGTTTAACCTTTGCCAGACGTCTGAAGATCCTGGTAATGTAAGGAGAGCTACACCGAGAGACTGCTGGATAGTCGCCCTCAAAGAGCAAACGTCAGGGACGTACAGAATGTGCCAGAGCAGTGTGACCGTTTTGCAGGACTGCCTGAATTGTTAATTGTCAAGACTTGATCCTTCCCCAAAGACTCTTGTACTTGCTGGGAGGGAGTCAGTGAGACCCACCTGGAATGTGCTCTTCTGACACGCCAAGCTGTCGGGGCCTTTCGTCACTGGACGTCTCTCTCAGAGGCACTGGCAAAGTCCTGGTTGTGGCTGGTGAACATCATGACCCAAGCTTGATCCGTAGAGCTCAGCCCACCCTCTGAGCCCAGCATGTAGTTCCTGTACTCAAGAGCCACACATCTCAAACGTAGGCCTGGTTGTGTGAGAGGCTTTGTCCAAGTCACCACGGTTGGCTTTCATTACTGGGGAATATTATGTAGTAGCAAGTGGTGCCAATGCTTATGCTTAAGATAAGAGAATAGATAGAGATCTAAAGATAGAGAGAGAGGTGACCTTGGGAGGGTGTTATTGGGTTTTGGACTTGCCTGATCGACGTCCTGAAACCGTATCAGGCAGGTGTTTCTTATTCCTGTGAAGCAGATCAAACAGCCATTGCACTGCAGTGAGACGTGACCCAGAACGTCCAGGCTGCAGTTCCTTCAGCTCTGTATATTCATACTCACCATTTTGTTTCCTAATTTTGAATTCATCTCCCACCCATGCCTCTTTGTTTGGAAGGGCGTGCCTCCAGTTCGCAGTCTCCGATGCCCTGAGTTTCCCTTTGCGTCCGCTGGGCCGCGCCTCAGAACCCCAGTTCGGCGCACCAGGAACGCCCCTCTGTGATTGGCCGCTTCTGCCCATGTGCTTGTAGTGGCTGCCAGAGTGGAGCTCTCTGATTGGCTGCTTTGATACCCTTGCCTGTAGGATGCCTACGCCAAGGGCGAAGTGTTCATCGGTCAGCGCGACATGGGGTACAAAGCCATAGCGGGGCTCCCCAGCAGCACCCACAACAACAGGACCTGGCAGTTCGGCATCACCATCCAGACGCCGGACCGCAACTTCCTGTTCACCTGCGAGACGGAGGAGGAGCAGCAGGACTGGCTGGTGCAGTTCCAGAAGGTCATGGACAAGCCCATGTCACCCCAGGAGTTCTCCAGTGAGCACACCGCCTCCTCAGAGTGAGACAGAGAGTGAGAGCGGGGGGTCAGAGTGAGGTGGAGAGTGAGAGGAAGGTGACGTGAGGGCGAGATGGAGTGAGAGAGAGGTTATGCGAGAGTGATAAAGAGTGAGATGTTTGTATGGTCTCTCTGTGTTCGTGTGGGTTTCCTCTGGGTGCTCCACAGTCCCAGTTCCTCCCACAGTCCAAAGACACACTGGTAGGTTATTTGGCTTCTGGGAGAATTGGCTCTGCTGTGAGTGTGTGTCTGGGTTTGTGTGCTCTGTGATGGACTGGTCTCCCGCCCAGGGTGTACCCTGCCTTGTGCCCAGTGCTTGCTGGGATAGGCTCCAGCTCTCCTGTGACAGTTCATTGGAAGAAGCGGTTGGAAAGTGAATCTTTAAATGATGTCATCTAACAAGTCACTTGATTGGCAATATGTGAATCCATGTGTTAGCATCTGATGATTTCACGGTTTTCCAGGGGGCAACGAGATTTGAAATGGGCAGATCAGGAAGTGCGAGCAAGTGTGTGTGTCGAAACGGGTGACTGCCTGTCCATCTCACTGCCCCATCTGTCGCTCCTTCTTGCAGTGGAAGCCCACCTGAAGCACAAATGATGCATCGCCACGGAAACAGGAAAGGCCACCCATCTGCCCCACCCCCACCCCCACCGCACTGGAGGCGTCTGATCACCTGACCAACAGAGCAGGGGCTGGCATAGAGCTGAGGGGGTTGGGGGAGGGGGAGGGGGGGGTGACCCATGTTTGTGAAAGAAGCCCAGTGCACCTCTGCACCACAGAAACACTACTAACATCACGCCCGTGAGCACTCCGACCGAGGCTCAGGGTAGCTCCCTCGCCATAACACTCCAGTCGGGTAATACTGGGCAAGGGGAAACACAGACCGCTGGCCAGGACCAAAGAAAGAGCAGAGCATTTGAGTGCTCCACCCACAGCCTGCGACACAGTCGGTCAGATTACTGGGGGCAAAGGGGGCGAAGCTGATTAGTTCTTCCAGGACCGGGGGGGAAACACAGAGCCAAGTCACGATGCACGGCGTTTCTTCAACTAAACTAAGCGTCCCCTGATCCCCGTTTTCCTCCTGCCAGACGGGAGTGGGGGTTCCAAGTTTGGAGAGGCGGGGGCCCCACCGTGCACCGAGGCTCTTAAGGGGCGACTGCCCCCGAGGGGGTGTGGCCGCTCGGTCAGCGTCTGTCCAGCTCCCGTCCGGAAAACAGGAGGACAACGGTGCAACTCCTGCAGTCCGCACCGTCTGACAAGTTCCCTCCCGAGACCCGCCGTCATCAAAGAACAAATCCCATTGGATTGACCGTTATTGCATCAGTGGAGTTTATAAGGGGGGTATGGGGAGGGGAGATTAGATCTCAATCTCACACACGTCCGCTTGTCTTCTTAGGGTATGTAAGTCTCGCACCCGGGACTGCCCTTCCCATATGGCTGTTGCACCCCTCCTGCCACCCCAGCTGCAGCTCCCTGGCTCATTCCTCACAGCAGAGCAGGGGTGGGGGGGGAGTCTGGACAGCCATTCCCTCCGCTGGGGGAGTCACGTCAAGCACGTCCTCTCTCTCTCCCTCACTCGTGGGGGGGGGGGCTCAGTCTAGCCCAGTTACCGAAATGTCACGATGCGTTCCCCTTGCCGCCAAGCGCTCTGAGGAGTTGCTTTCAAAGCTGATGGGGTAGCCCGCCTCTTCTTTGTACCGGACCGGTTTTGTAATAAGGACACGGATCTGTATATATAAATAAATCACCACTGTGGCACCTGTGCTCGGCCAGCTTTTTCTCGACATCACGCGGGTTGTGCTGATGGGTATTGTCGCAGTAGATCATGGTGTGAGCGTGGCGAGGCCTGGTCACGGTGGAAAAAAACTCCAGGGGGGAGTAGGAACGCAGCCGCCTTGCGTTTTCACAGTATAATAGAAATGGCCGGACTCTCTAGCGGCAGACCTAGCTTGGTTCTGATTCTAGAGGCTGATTTGGCTGCCTGGCCTGCGGCAGTCGCTGCTAAGTGCCTCTCGTTGACCCCAGTGGACATCCCCCAGTGGGATTCTGGGAATCCTCAGGCTACTGGGAAGGGAGGGATCATGGGAAAAAAAACAGCATATTTTGTTATATTGTCTTAGTATATTGTATTATGTTATTTGACCTGTTAGACTTTTAGAAAGGTGTGGATACCCACTGCGTTAGATCTGTCTAGCTGGCTCTTGACCTGGGCGCTTGTCCCCCAGAGCAGAGAGAAGCTGCAATATCTACAGCAGGGCTCTCCGGCATTTCCTGACTGGCTCCCCCTTGAAAAACAGCGTCCTGTAAACCCACCTAACCCTAACCCTAAAGTCAAACTGCAGTCTAGAAGTACTGGAACCAGCCCTGCTGCGAATCACAGTAATAACACAACACAAGCCCTCGTGTCTCTGGGGTTTCTCGTGATCTGTCCTGAATAATTCATAATTCTTCACTATTAATGATATGAATACTTCATAATAATCTTATATCGATTGATAATTATGCATTCATATATAATAGCATTTAATAATGCTTAATTATAATAAGAAATAATGAGAAACACGAAACAAGCTGGTGTTCAGCACCACTCTGCTCCCCCTCCTGCCCCCCCTCACTCTGCCCCTCCTGCACCCCCCTCACTCCCCCTGCCCCCTCCTGCCCCAGCTCTCCCCCCTGGGAATTTTAACTTTAACTTAACTTGAATGACTTTGGGTCACCAGCATCCTGCCAGCAAAGCTTAGATGAGACAGAGCACCAGTGGGGCGTGACTGGGGTACAGTCCCGGGACTGTTTGTTCTCCACACAAAAAATGAGCACCTCAGCTAAGGAGCTTTAAACTTTACACACAGAAGGAAGGTCAGGCCGGTTCGCCGCGCTCGGATCGAGATCATCGCCGACCCCCCTCGCGGTCACAGACGCGCTCGAAACAGTAAAACAGCTGGAGTCTGTCATCTGGCCACGGGCCCTGTCAAGAGACTTCGTCGCACCTGGGTGTCAAGAGGTCTGTGAGAGAGAGAGAGATCGGGCCGATGCACACACCCCCTCCCAGACTCCCGTCTTACTATAAAGAGCGCAGCCTGGAAAACGCTGGTCATCTGGAAACAAAACGGGCAAGAGGGAATACTGATCCTGGAAGGACAGATCCATCAGGGCAAAGGAACGGCACAGAAACGGGACACAGGGAACTGAGCTCCCTCTAGCCTGGAGACGAGGCTGCTGGGCGGCCAGCGAAACTTTTACCGACCACAGTGTAGGTTATATTAAAAGCAAAAACGAGAGGAATTTCCTGTGAAGTCCCTACTTCCAGTTGTTCCTTTCTTCCTCTTTTCCCAGGACTGGGTACCGATCTGTCCCTTGGAGATACAGCAGGTGGGCAGGACTGGATTTTTGCTTTTTTTTTCGCAGGACTTTTGTCTTGGAATGGCAGAACGGATCGCTATCGGAACTGAAAGGAGCCTGCGTGTCCCAAAAGGCTTTTGAGGGAATCCAAACTGGAGATCTCTTTCCGACATCGGAATTGTCCATCGAGCCTTCACCTTGGATCGATGTGCTTTCAAGGTGTGCAGGGCGACGCAGAAGACAGGCTTTCTGAGGTCAGCTCCCGAGAGAAGGGCTTCTGAAAGCAAAGAGGGTGTCAACAGGACAGGAGGAGAGGCTGGTGAGGGATCCCTTTGCATTTTCCTCGGAAAAGCAGGAACATCGAAACGCTCTTCTCTGCGCACAAAGCCAGAGTTTTTTTACCAAGTGGTAAAAAGCACCGCGCTCAGGGTGTGGGAGCTTCGCTTGTCTTTCGATATTGGAGGTGGAAGAAAGCTCAGTGTTTTTTTCCAGGAACACAAAACACAATGGATTGGGCTCCTGATCGCAGTGGATCACCAGTCTAAGAACCTGGAAGACGAATTCTAAAGGTTTCCACTCCGGCAAATCAGCACAGACGCTGTGAGCATGACTCCTGTCTGGACTGCTTCCCAGCGTTTTAACCCATCGGCTCGTCTCCCAGACGCACACAAAGCACTGGGAGAGATCCGGACAACTGGAGCTTAAGCTGGGCCGTCACTGAAAGGGTCTCCCGGAATTTAGCACTGTTTGAGATCGCGTTTTAGGAAAGTAAACCTGGAAGCGTTCCTGTGTTTATGTCTCCAGCGCTCCACACCCACAAACGGGTGCAGATTCCACAGCAGCCGTGTTGAAGGATAAGGAGACAGTCAGTTCGGGATACCGGGGAAGAGCTCAAGGGCTGCGAGGCCAGGCTGCGTTACAATACCGATTGAGCCAGCCCAAGCAAAACCCCAGACATGGACCTGAGAGGAGACCCCAGCCCGAACCGCAGCGCCAACGCCACCGGCACCGCGCCCGCCCACCTCTGGGTGACCTCCCTGCTGGGGGCGACCCTCCTGGCCACGTGGGTGCTGGGCGCGGCCGGGAACGCCTACACCCTGGCCGTGACCAGCACCGCGCTGCGCCGCTCCGCCTCGCTCTGCGTCTACGTCGTCAACCTGGCGCTGGCCGACCTCCTGTACCTCTCCACCATCCCCTTCGTGGTGTGCACCTACTTCGCCCGCGACTGGCTCTTCGGGGAGACGGGCTGCCGAGTGCTGCTCAGCCTGGACCTGCTCACCATGCACGCCAGCGTCTTCGTGCTGGGCGCCATGAGCCTGGAGCGCTACCGCGCCGTGGCCAGCCCCTTCCGCGCCCGCCGGGCCTCGGCGGCCTCCCGCCGGCTGGCGGCCCTGGCCATCTGGGCGGCCTCCTTCCTGCTCGCCCTGCCCATGATGCTCATGGTCCGCCTGCACAGGGACCGGCCGGAGCCCGCGGGCCCCCCCCGGCGCATCTGCTCGCCCACCTGGACGCCGGCCGCCTTCCGGGCCTACCTGACCGTCCTCTTCTGCACCAGCGTGCTGGGGCCGGGGCTGATGATCGCCGGGCTGTACGCGGGCCTGGCCTGGAGGTACTGGGCGGTGCAAGCCGGGCTGGGGCCGCTGGGCGGGGGGGCGGCGGCGGTGGCGGGGGGCCGGAGGGGGCCGAAGAGGAGGGTGGTCACCATGGTGTTCGCCATCGTCCTGGCCCACTGGGCCTGCTTCCTGCCCTTCTGGGCCTGGCAGCTGGCCAAGCTGTACTCCCCTGGCACCCTGGGGGGCCTGTCCCCCGCCACCCACACCTACGTCAACTTCGCCCTTACCTGCCTGACCTACGGCAACAGCTGCGTCAACCCCCTGCTCTACACCCTCCTGACCAGGAGCTACAGGGACTACCTGGCCCAGAAGGCCCGGCCCGCCAGCTCAGCTGGGCCGGACCCAGCCGGTCCTGGAGGGGCTGTGGCGCTTCGGCACCCTTAGGCCCTTCACAAGCGGATTGGGACCGGGGACAAGAAGGGGGGGTAAATACACAGTACCCCGTTAGAAAGTAACTGGCGACCCGCATCAGTGGTGCCGAGCTCTGCTTCTGGGCTCTGCTGTGTGCTTCTGGGTTTGCGCTCCGGTCACGTTCATACTCAGCAACTGGGACTTGGGGTCTCTTTTTTTAGGTGGGATTTTTAATGTGGTCTTCCGGTTTTCGCGGGACACTTCATTCGCAAGAACTCACGCTCACTCCTTGCCTTGTCCTAGAGAAGCTGGAGATTTGGAGAGACCTATAAAACCTGGACAGGGGACTTGAAGGACTGGAGTCAGGCTGTCCCTGTGTAAATCAAGGCTGGTGGACTCCCCTCCTCTGAGGTCTGTGGTGTCCGCTGGTACTCATTCCATTGTGCATCTTAATCGCTTCATTGACAACACTAGGATAAGGTGTTAAATCACATTCGTGTTCCAAATACCTGTAAAACCTATGAGAACTGGAGCCACCTCTTCAAAATATTCCCCCAGCATATGACAGCAAGTCATTTCTTACCTAGGCAACCATAATGGCTAATTTTGCAAGAAGTTACGTTTGAAATGCTGTACGGAGCCACGCCGGACACACTCCGGGTGCTCAGCACTTTGATCCACTTCAGCTCTTACGAGCTGCACGCTTGCTGTGCTGACCAGGCAGCAGATAACCAGCGTCGCAGAGTGCTGCCCCTGCAGATCTGCTCAGGAATGAGATAAAAGCACATCCTGCAGAGCTCCTGCTGGATGAAGTACTCGCGAGATTTTGCATGCTTGGGTCTCAACCAACCTGAAACGGAGCCCCTGCTGTGCGATGGGAGGCCTACGTTTCCCCCTGCAACTTGCAATACAACATTACACTAGACATCCACGCACAGTTTTGCAGGGTGCTTTATATTAAAATTCATAAAAGATGAGCTTGGGTAATTGGAACAAATGAATTTCCAACCGTATAATGAAAACATTTAGGGAGACCCGCGGGAAAACGCTCTTATAGCATTCCGGCTCTACCGCTGATGGCCTTGTACTTTAATGAGACTCTTTACTGCTTTTCTCTCCTCTGATGGTTTAACTGCCTCCGTTTCATGATAACATCACAGAGGCAGTGCCCCTCCGTTCAAGGGAATCCTGGCCTCATGACACAGCCCGGGTTCAAACCAGCAAAACCTTAGCTGAACGGCTCGATGTCCCTTTGCTGGCTGAGCCCCACCATCATCATAATTCCTTACAGCTATATAGTGCTTTTCTGGACACTTCAATCAAAGCACTGTGCAGGTCACAGGGAATCTTCATGGGGAATATATATTCCCCATCTACCTATACAATCCCACTACCACCACCAATGTGTAGCCCCACCTGCGAGGGCAGACAGTGCGCCAGTACGCTCCCCACCCACCAGCTATCTGTGGGGAGATCCCTAATGGTCCCACTAACACCTCTCCCAGCAGAAACCTCAGCTCTCCCAGGAGTCTCCCCTCCAGGCACTGGTCAGGCTCACATGACTGAGCTCCAGTGGGGCTGCCACTTGCAGGGTGATACAGCTGCTAGCAAAGTTATTGCAGATTCATATTCTGAACTTTGTTCTGTGGAAAGAAGCAGTTGGTGAAAATGTTGTTCTTAAAGACTTTTTTGGTTTTGTATTTTACATTGCTTTGTACTTATGTCACTGTATTTAATCTGTTCCCCTACGCACCTATAGTTTTTCTCTCCATACATTACTTATGTCTACTGCCTTTTTCTTTGGGAGACAGCAGGAAACTGGACTAGCGGGGGGAAGAACACCTTTATTTCTTTCAAGATGTCTTTGTGAAGCCTCATCCATACAAGTATCCAATATGTACCAATAAAATATAAAATACTGCTCATGAAAAGCCAAAGTTGAAAACATTTTTCTGGGAAAACACATTCTGCTGTTGCGTGAGTCTCCCACCTTCTCCTGTGGTCTTCCAGGACCTCCGCTCAGTTGGCGAGGTGGGGAGAGGGCAGCGGGTGACAATTTTAAGAGCGCTGCCCTCCGGTTTTATTGGAGTCAGCAGCTCTAATTGTGCTGGAGCTGCCCGGCGCCGGTACCATGGCTACGGCCAAGCAAACAGAGCGGAGCAGGAGCTGGGGCGGGTGGGTCTCCGTGTGGGAACGCCTACGGAACGCAGTGGGGTCACCTGGCAGCCGTCTGGGGGCACAAGAAGACCGTGGCTCCCAGCTCGCAGCCTGTCGAAGAAGGGCAGGGGGGGTGGCCTCAGAGAGGCCAGCACACAGCCACACATCGGACTGAGCCCTGGGAGGAGGAGGAAGATGGGGGGAGGAGGAGGAAGAGGAAGGGAGACCAAGGAGAAGGAAGAGAGGCAGGAGGAGGAGGAAGAGAGATTGAGGAAGAGGAGGAAGGGAGAGACGGGGAGAATGGAAGAGGAAAAAGGAGCCGAAGAGAGACGGAGATGGGGAGAAGGAAGGCAGAAGGTGGTGCTGAGCCGGCACACACTGTCTCTCTCCCCCTCTCACCCTGTCCCGAGCCGTACAGAGAAGCCAGCACACAGCCACACATCGGACTGAGCCCTGGGAGGAGGAGGAAGAGAGGAAGATGGGAGGAGGAGGAGGAAGGGAGGGATAGGGAGAATGGGAGAGGAGGAAAAGGTAAAAGGAGCAGAAGGGAGACAGATGGGGAGGAGGAAGGCAGAAGGTGTTGCTGAGCCGACCCACACCGTCTCTCTTCCCCTGTCCCGAGCCCTGGGGATAGAGCTGTGATCCAGCTGGGCCTGAGGAATGTGGCCAGGGGGCGACACATTCCTGGGCACGGGCACGGGGCCTCTTAGTGCCACTCTGCGAACTGCCCCCCGCAGGGCAGGTCTCCACTGGAGCCGCTGAGAAAAGAGCCCTCACACGGCAGAGCAGCAGGAGAAACACACAGTTAACACCCGCAACCCAGTCCTCAAGCGCCTGCCCCTTCACTGTCTGTGGGGCTGGAGGGCAGAGAAACCAGCCCAGTGACTGAGGATTCTCACACAGGGACACACTGCAGGGAGCCAGTCACACAGGGACACACTGAACACACTGCAGGGAGCCAGTCACACAGGGACACAGTACAAAGTGACATTAGTGTTAAGTCAAACAGTTTTGGACAGTAGAGTGGAAAGGCATGTGGAGCAATTTGATAACACATTGCACTGCAGTAGAGGGGAGGGGGTTATTAACGACAAGAGACGAAAAAGACCACTGCTGTTCAGAGCAAGCTCTAATCAGAAAGAAGCCTGCCCTGCACCGCCAACCTCAGCCTTGATTGAGAAGATCTGAATGTCCCCATAGAAGCTCACATGGTCATAAGAGTCTCGTCCCAGGCGGTTTGGGAAACTTATCACACGGTCATCAGGCAGCTTTATACCAAAGGAGTTGCCATTGTGAGTTATGGACATCTGGAAGGAGAAGAGGAATTGATCAGACACCAATATTAGAACCTTCGGTGGGGAGTGGCTTTAAGCTTTTTCAGATGGGGTTCATGATGAAATATGAAGTGTACTGAAATTCATTCCACAGTGTAACAATCCCTCCCCCTGAAGCCCCGCCCACTCCCGGCAACCTCACCGCGAGCCCCTCCCCCTGAAGCCCCGCCCACTCCCAGCAACCTCACCGCGAGCCCCTCCCCGAAGCCCCGCCCACTCCCAGCAACCTCACCGCGAGC